TTCATTGTTCATGGAAATGCCCACAGCACCGAAAGTCCGAAACATGCTTTCTTTCTCGTAAGTGAAGTTATGAGCAAATTTTGAGAAAAAATCAAATAAAACTTAGAAATATCAGTAACATTTTTCTATCCAAATCAGAATCCAGTTCCTAATCAAACCAAAATTTTAGTGGGAGGCATTTTTGAGCAACTTGGCTGACGGCGAGGGCACTTATAGGACAGGAACGAAATGAAGGACAGAGTTGTCCATTTCGAATAGTTAGGGGCTAAATTGGCCCTTTTCCCTAAAAAAGAATATTAATTTAAAGCCTGAAGTTTACACAGCATGAACTAAAGGATCAATATAGTATTACCCACTAAATGTCTTAACGAATGAAAGCAATCTCAGAACCATTTTATGAATAAGCAACAAGAAACAGTATAGAACGGGAGAACAAGCAGTTGTTGGATAATTCTAGTAGGATAGAACATTAAATATAAGTATGTGTAGCTATCCAAATTTACTTAAAACATGGATTATGGAATATGATTGATTTTTTTTTAAGAGATTTTATATACTAGAAGAGGTTGGTGACTTGTTTCTTGAACTTTCTTACTTCAGTGTCTTGACCCCATACTACACGGAAGAGGTCCTTTTCTCATCAGATGATTTGGATAGACAAAATGAAGATGGTGTTTCCATTCTGTTCTATTTGCAAAAAATTTATCCAGGTTTGCTTGTTGACTTGATTTATTTAGTTTTTTGTTGTTAATCACATGATCAACTGCTAGTAATTTTTTTCTCCTTTTCTGGTTCTTTCTCTGTTTTTTTCACTGAACTAGTAATGGTGGCATACAGATGAATGGCTCAATTTCATTGAGCGTGTGGATTGTACCAGTGAAGACGACCTCAGGTTTAAATGGTCTCCTGATTTAGAAGAAAAACTCCGCCATTGGGCTTCATATAGGGGGCAGACTTTAACAAGGACAGGTATGGAGTTGATATTTGATGAGTGCACAAGAGGATAAAAGAGATCTCGTAGTTAATTTTGCAATATTTTCTTTCTTACCCCCTCCCCTCTTAAATCCTCTCCCCATTCCGCCTAAACTCCTTTAAAAAAAATTCGTACATTTGATGGATTGATGTGTTGTTTAATTTCTAGTGAGAGGGATGATGTATTACCGCAGAGCTCTGGAACTTCAATCTTTCCTTGATATGGCCCAGGATGATGGTAATTGACTAGTATCTCAGAATCCTTGAGTTACATATTAAATCCTTGTTGCCATTTAACATTGTATTCACCTGAATTTATAAGTTAACTTTTTCTATGTTGAACAGATTTGTTGGAGGGGTATAAAGCTATTGAGTTAAACGAGGATCAGATGAAGGGAGAGAGGTCTCTTTGGGCACAATGTCAAGCAGTAGCTGATATGAAATTCACATATGTTGTCTCATGCCAGTTATATGGTATACACAAGCGATCTGGTGATCAACGTGCACAAGATATTCTCCGGCTTATGACAACGTATGTGTCATTTTTTTTAGTTTGTCTACTTGATAATGCAATGTGCTAACGTCTATATATTTTGGTTAATAGGTACCCATCCATGCGTGTTGCGTATATTGATGAAATTGAAGAACCAAGCAAAGACAGGTCCAAGAAAGTTAATCCAAAGGTCTACTATTCCACCCTTGCCAAAGCTGCCATTTCAAATTCTTCTGAGCCTGGTCAAAACTTGGATCAGGTAAGAGAAGTCTGATCTTTTGTCATGATTATCGCATATGTTTCTTTTGATGGGATAAAAGGCAAGATATGAGGAGCTTATTAAATGCTATTCCATTTTCACCACATTTGAAGCCCTTGTCATGCCAAAATCTCTTATTGGGAGGCACCAAATTGCTTTGATTTCACAGGAGGCATCATTTCAAGTTATTGACATCACTAATCACAACTTGACTTCATGGGAACTTTTTTGAATGTTTCTTGGAAATAGAAGGCAGTTTTTTTAATACAATTTACAAAGCAATCTAGACATTATTTGGAGTAGTCAGAAAAGTACAGTCTTTTTGGGGAATTTGAGATTCAGGAGGAACCTACAAGATTGTGAGATGGAAGAATTTTACAATCTGGCGGAGATTCTGTATGAGCTGGACGCACTGAACAACTTATTTGATACATGGAGATGGGGAGAGAGTAAGAATGGATTATTCACTGTTAAGTCGTTTTGTAAGAGCTTATTACAGAGAGAGGAACATATTTTCCCTCACTACTCTATTTGGATTCTTAGAGCACCGAGAAATGTGTGTTTCTTTGCATGGTTGGCGGCGAGGGGAGTGATTTTTACAGCGGAAAATTTGAGAAAGAGAAGGATCACCTATGTTAGTGTTTCATGCAAAAGCTCGGGCGAAGATGTGGATCATCTCCTTGGGGTGCAATGGGTGATGCCGGGCACTGTGAAGGAGGTGTTGCACAGTTGGCCCCATAGTAGGGGGAAGAGAAGTTCAAGGGCATGGAATGTTGTCCTTGTAGCAATCATGTGGGTTATTTGGAAAGAGAGAAATAGGAGGGCATTTGAAGGAATAGGAGGGCATTTGAAGGGGTGGAACAAACTTTTGTAAAGTTGTAAAGCAGTCTTCTTTTCCTAGTTTCTTTTTGGTGTACTCATGAGGTATAGAGGATTGGGCCTCTTTTGTTGAGAACCATTTTTTGGTGCAGGTTCTCTTTTTTTGGTATACGGCTTGGTTTTCCCCAACTGTTAATAAAATTAATTACCTTATCAAAAAAAGTATAGGTTTTCTATTTGAATGGTTATTTGATGATTTTTTTAATGAATTGAATGGATATAAACTATGCATTCTAAAAATTATTTTGTTTTCTTCTCTTAGGATATCTACCGTATAAAACTTCCAGGCCCTGCTATCTTGGGTGAGGGAAAGCCTGAAAACCAGAATCATGCTATTATCTTCACTCGTGGAGAAGGGCTGCAAACTATAGATATGAATCAGGTAAGTGATTATAACTACATGAGATGTTGATTTCAATCTCTCCAATTTATGACATTAAATATCCATTTCTAGGATAACTACATGGAGGAAGCCTTAAAAATGAGGAATTTGCTTCAAGAGTTTCTTAAGAAACACGATGGTGTGAGGTTCCCTAGTATACTGGGGCTGAGGGAGCACATATTTACTGGAAGGTAAACACTTGTTACAATAGTATTTCACTTGTCCTGAATCTTTTTTATCCATACTTTTAGTATTTTAAATTGTTCTCTTTGAATACTACTTATCTCTTGTTTCTGTCTGATGCAGTGTTTCTTCTCTCGCGTGGTTTATGTCAAATCAAGAGACAAGTTTTGTGACAATTGGTCAGAGACTATTGGCAAACCCTCTGAAGTAAGAACTTTCAATCTCCAGTGCTCATCCTTGTTTCTGTTTCTAAGTTATAAGCCCTGTAAATGAATTTTTAATAAGCTCTATAATAGAGAACTGCATTATCCGTTTATACAAATATTAGAAGCTCTTTTTTTAAATTTTCATGTAGTGAGATAGATAGTTCAATGGATACACTTTTCAGGCATCTGTTTCTGGTGTTGCTACCAATTAAGTATAAGGTGACTTTTATAATCTCCTACTTCTTTCCAACTTGTCAAGAATTCGAAGTTGTGCAGGACAAAGCTTAAAACTGGGTTAGGACCACACAGAGCAGTTTTAATACATCTTAAAACAAAGACCGCTCGATAATCATCATTGGTACTGGAGTACACGTCATTCATTCATACAAGCAGTTGTGTGGATTTATAGATTGTCTTACTTGCAGTTAGAGATAATATGAATATATCAGCTTTACAAAATAAAATTGGCATTTGATAATCTAGAACTTCTCCAAATATTTGATCCTCATTTGTCATGGAACTGTGCTACTATTAGTTTACTATGTGCTTCTCTTTCAGATATGATGATGGGGTGTTTAAAGTTGTTTAGACATACTCCATTCATCCATGTCAAAGTCCTATATGAGTGTTGGCTCTTTCCCCACTTCAATTTAATAACTTCCATTTTATATTTCTCCAGGGTTCGATTCCATTATGGGCACCCAGATATTTTTGACAGACTGTTCCACCTTACAAGGGGTGGAGTCAGCAAAGCTTCTAAGATTATCAACTTAAGTGAGGACATATTTGCTGGTAGGTCCAAACTTTGTGAAGTTTGAGAACATCTTTAGGTTTTTGTATGTTTTTTTCAACTACTCATGTAAATTTGTCTTGAGAAACTAATTTCTTAATTTATGGTCTTGTAGGCTTTAATTCTACACTACGTGAAGGCAATGTTACTCACCATGAGTACATTCAAGTTGGTAAAGGAAGGGACGTGGGACTTAATCAGATATCTCTATTTGAGGCCAAAATAGCCAATGGCAATGGAGAGCAGACCCTGAGTCGGGATTTATACAGGCTTGGACATCGTTTTGACTTTTTCAGAATGTTATCATGTTATTTCACTACCATTGGTTTCTATTTCAGTACCTTGGTATGTGTCTCAAACTTCATTCAATGATGATTGTATTTTTTAATTTACCCCTGAACTTTTTTTTGCTTGCCTCTGGCAGATTACTGTCCTCACCGTATATGTGTTCCTCTATGGACGCCTTTACCTTGTCCTTAGTGGACTTGAGGAAGGGCTGAGTAAGCAACCGTCTATCAAGAACAACAAAGCTCTTCAAGTGGCTCTTGCTTCTCAGTCTTTTGTGCAAATTGGGTTTTTGATGGCCCTCCCTATGATGATGGAGATTGGCTTGGAAAAGGGATTCCGCACAGCACTCAGTGAATTTGTACTGATGCAACTGCAGTTGGCACCAGTATTCTTCACATTTTCACTTGGAACGAAGACCCATTATTATGGAAGAACATTGCTCCATGGAGGTGCAAAATATAGGCCTACTGGCCGTGGTTTTGTGGTCTTTCATGCTAAGTTTGCTGATAACTATCGCTTCTACTCCCGTAGTCACTTTGTCAAGGGACTTGAGCTAATGATACTATTGCTCGTGTATCAAATTTTTGGGCAAGGTTATAGAGGAGCTGTTGCATATGTCTTGATCACTGTGTCAATGTGGTTCATGGTGGGAACCTGGCTCTTTGCTCCGTTCCTCTTCAATCCCTCTGGTTTTGAATGGCAAAAGATAGTTGATGATTGGACTGATTGGAATAAGTGGATGAGCAACAGAGGAGGTATTGGTGTCCCCCCAGAGAAAAGTTGGGAATCATGGTGGGAGGAGGAACAAGAGCATCTTAGGCATTCTGGAATACGCGGTATTGTTGCTGAAATTCTGTTGTCTTTGCGCTTCTTTGTCTATCAGTATGGGCTCGTCTATCACTTGAAGATCACGGTGACAAATCAGAGTTTTCTGGTATGCCATGGACTATAACCCTTCTTCTTTTGCTCTAAGGTTGTCATCAGTTCACTATTCTAATATTTCTGCATGAATTGCAGGTTTATGGTGCTTCATGGTTAGTAATATTTCTGGTACTTTTTGTAATGAAGGTAAGACCAAATTATTTCGTATTCTCTGTTACAAGAAAATCTTACAAGATAAACTAAAAATACGAGTATTTTTCTCTGCCTGTGACATCCAAAGGAAATGGAAGTATGTCTATATATTTGAAACCTGGACTCTAATCGTGAGATGCTTTCAAATTTTACCTGAAAAATATGGAATGCTTCGAAATGAATTGGGATGAGATCAGACTTCTCTTTGCTGTTGCTTTGATACCTCAAAAAATGATCAACCCAGTGTCAATAACTACCGCTTTAAATTAACACACCCTGAGAACCATTATTATGCTCTTATCGTTTTTCTGATTTGTTTTTCTATATATTTCAGACAATATCTGTTGGTCGACGAAAATTCAGTGCGAATCTCCAACTCGTGTTCCGTATTATAAAGGGATTGATATTCTTAACATTTGTTGCAACACTGGTGATTCTGATGACACTGCTCCATATGACTCCTAAAGACATGGTGGTGTGTGTTCTCGCTTTTTTGCCAACTGGCTGGGGCATGCTTCTGGTTAGTCATCATCCTTTTTATGTTCTCTTTTATGTATTTTCTCGTTCACCTTTATGCATTAAGATCTCATATTGGTGATCCAATAAGATTTCCCATACTCGGCGTATATACTTTATCAACAAGTATGCTTCAGTGCTATTCCACTTAGAATTGTTGATTCATTATAAAACTGAGCAGTGAGCATAGACTAAGCATAGAAATATGACAAATGTTTTTCTTGCGATGATGAACAAGTAATTGACATCTATGTTGCGCGGACTCTCCAAAATGTAGCCGCACCCGTGTCGGATCCTTCAAAATGCACTACTTTTGGAGGATCCGACACGTATCCTGCCACATTTTTGGAGAGTTCGAGCAACATAGATTGACATGTGTTGTAAGTAAAATTTGGACCCCAATTTGCTTGGGATTGAGGCGTAGTTGTTGTACCAGGAAAACTTTTAGCGCCTACTGCTACTCTTTTGTCGGTTGCATTTAAATGTTGTCTGTTGGTAGAATTTTGGTAGTCAATATTAACAACTGCACAAACTCAGCTGTCTGTACTGCTATAGAGATATACTAGTAGTAATAAGTAATCCACGCCTACAAGGAGTGCAAGGTATCTATCTAATCCGCAGTTATACTTAAAAAGAATAGTGAATGCTCTTGCAAAACAATAATACTACTCATTAAGCAATCGAAGCAAAGATACCTTTTGAAAAGCTTTAAGCACAAAACAGCATAATATTTTTCAGTTTTTGCAAATATTGAACTTCAATATTAAAAAATGAAAAACTTGTTTGAGGAGTATTTCAATGCTATAATGGCTTTCACTCACCATTTCAACTTCCAAATATTCTTCTTGAACTTCAACTACAAATCTTTTCTTTTTGTGAACTTAAACCAAAATGTGTGAACACAGTAGAGTTATGGAGATTTAAAAATGAGTAAATTTTTTTTTTTTTTGAATTGGTAACTATTGTAAATATTATAAATATCAATACATAGGTTGCACTGAAAACCAAATTTACATTGAGAGACTTTGTAGATGTTCTAATTTGGGACCTAGCAAGATCCTAGTATGTCTATGATTGTCAATGTATC